CTTAAACAATCACAATATGAACAAACTAAAAGGAATATCATTTCATCTTATTTATTTATTATTATTTTATAGAGGAAGGAGATGGTCCGTGGTGGCTGTCATCAATAGATTAAAATAATGGCAGAACTATTTTATTAAAAGCCATCACTTCGACCCGATTTTGCAGATCTTCTTCAGGGCTACATATAAAATATGTTTATGTATATATTTATAATTTATTAGTTCATAGGTATCTTATTTTTACTTGTATCCACCAATATCTTAAAATTTTAGATGGATACAAGAAAAAATACGATATTTATGAACTAATAAAGTATAAATATATACATAGTTTATATGTAGCCCAGAAGAAGACATGCAAAGTAGGCTCGAAACGTTGGCTTTTAATAAAATAGTTTTGCCCGTGTTTACTCCATTTATGACCGCCACCCCGGACCATCTCCTTCCCCTATTATTCAATGGTCAACTATTAAGTATTCAATATAATAAAAAATATATATATTTTTTTAACTTAGGTCCTCAAAAATGTAATTTTGAATCCGCTACTGGCTATAACAGTATTTTGTTTTTAAGTTACTTTGATTAGTTAAGGAAAGAGCTCTCTTGTCCAGCACCTTTTCTTATCTTGTCCGTATATAAGGCCAGGTCAGTGTTATCAGTCTGAACGATATTTTAAATCATACAATATATTAGATCACAGGAATTTTTCTAGAGTTTTAAATTTAAACTAGGCGTGGATGCTCCCTCATGTCAAGTTAGTAATTGCCTTGGTTATATCTAATTAATGAAGAGTGTAAAGTCTCTTCTTATTAGAGCTTTTAACTAATAGCTTCTAGGCCACCATTTGTCAAAATCTACTTTAATATTTAATATTCTCATGCCAGGTAATTAGCTTCACATCTTTTCATCGGATGCTTGCTTCCAATATTCTGTTGAAAAACAATTAGTTTTTGAGATCATACTTTAAAGAAAATAAAAACTATAATACTAGTAATATAATATAGTTTCTGCTGTACTTAAAATACTTTTAGCAAATTATCTCACTACGAATTCCCTCAATATTGAGTAAAGATAGCCAAAAACTGTACTAAATCCCCCTCTCATTTTTATATGACAAAGCAAACAGAGCCCATTGGCTAATTCAACGTACCTTCTGTAATTCAGATATAAAAACTGTCCGGTTATGTCAAACATTGAACTTATTAAAATAATATAATATAATGATTTAACTGATGGATAGAAGGAAATAGCAGAGACATAATTTGGCACATTGCTTGGACTAAAAAACCGAAAAACCTGCTTTGCTATAGACTGTAACGCCTAAATGAATGTACCGATTTCAATGAAACTTGGCTAAAGTCTTCTTCTTGATGCCATTTAAATTTATTTATATAACATACTTCAACGAAAAGAAGCTGAAAAAAAAAGTTACGAGGGATGGTAAAATTAGATTCTTAATAACACAAAAAGTATACACTTTTTTGTGGATATTGTAATAAGATATTTCAAAGTTATTTAAATTTCTTAAAAAAAATGAAGAAAATTTCATCTTATTAGTGAAGATATCGCGATTTTTTAATATTTTTCGTTTATTATTTTCAATAATGAACCATTGAAATTGAACAAAAAATTCAAAAACTTAGTCCTCTCTCAAAATTTGAATTTTTACGTTTCAGGATACATAGAATTCGAAAACGAGTACATTTTTTTTCGTCCGTCCGAGCATTATCTCTGAAACTAATTAACCTTCATCGACATTACTATTTTTTTTTTCGGTTGGCACTACAGACCAAGAAGATCTTTGGCCGCGAGATGTGGTCTCCTTACAGACGTACATTGCTTGCTGGAGCACAGATATTCTGGAGGGGGTCGTCCAACTTCAAACTATGGTCTACAAACCATGGTCTCCATGGTTCAGCGCCAGGCCACTTGTAGCTCCATAGCCGATCCCTTTGGGGCCAATCTGGCAGTGTCCTGCCCACCGACTCACTCGGGTCCAAGTACAAATCGGTCTAGATCCATGGATTATGGCTGCTTGGAGTCAGCAGGCGCATGAGGATCTATATTTCTTTCCCCGAAACAGATCGTCAATGAACTACTGACATTCTGGTAGACCACATCCCGATTCCCGATTTAAGTAAACGGGGTAGGGTCATTAGTCCTAAACCCGGTCGGTATGAGTTGCCTCCAGTACGCTGATATGATTCACAAAACCTGGGGGGGAGGGGAAGGAATCTCAGGCAGCGTGACATCCTCTGGTCCCCTAAATCGAGCGGTCACTGATACAAGTACTAACCACTGTCGATCATGCTTAACTTTCATTATCTATAGCAAGCGTCTTAGCCGGCACGACTATTCCAGCTCTCCACTTGGATATACCTTTGGAGATTAACTAGTAAAATAATATATATTCTTGAAGAAAATTTAATTATTAAAAACCTCCTTCCTCATGACTGAATCATAGAACAAAGCAATCAAGAGTTCAATCAAAGCATCAAATACAATAAAAAAACATGGGATAAGACTGTATAAGGTTTGCAAATTCAATAAATGAGCAGTTATAATAAAAAGTATCGAAAAGGATTCTTATTGGAAAAAAAAATAATAATATATATATAAATATTGTATGCTATGCTCATACATATTGTTAATCCTATATAATTGTATATTATTTTTAAAAATGGTCTGTAGTGATTAATAAGTATGCTGTGTTGTAAGTAACCCAATGTAATTGGACAGCACCATTTTATGATAATAAAGTGATTCTCTCTCTCTATCTCTCTCTCTCTGAATATTAGGTTAGATTGTAAATTATGTTATTTGATCAGTACTTTGATTCATCATTCATTACTGACATTTACTTCCATAATTTGGGCAAAATATGGGAATAAAACTCTTCGTTTTGTATGTTTTGTAAAAGCACACATTTACTGAAACATATTTGGAGCTCTCCACACCATTACGCCATTGTTGTGCAGAACATTATTCAAATAACAAGGACGACGATCAGAGATAAGATAACCTGCTTTTTATTCCTGGTTAAAAGGCTATTGGGAAGGCACTGACAGAGCTACCTGTCGTTAGGAAGGGACAGAACAAATCGCTTGCTACAGGCACCACGCGAGCTCTCAATCAGAACAATTGTTAGGGCTTCTCCTATTGGCTGAGTCGTTAGCTTGTTGTGTCAGTAAAATTGTTAGGGCGTTTGCTATTGGCTAAATCGTTAGCTCGTTGTGTCAACAAGGGACCATTCCCCAGCTCCGTTATATGACCTCGTTTACCTTTCAACTATGGATTTAGTAGGCAATGCTAAAGTGTCATCGATTTGGAAGGCCTTAGAGCTCCATAGTTTATCAGACTCTTTTTTATCCTTTATTAAGAAATAATACAATACGTTACATCTAAGGATAATAATAATAGTAATAGAAGAGTAGCCTCATCCACACTATGTACTTTTTATTAGAAATCTGCGACAGTTGTTGGAGTAAACTGTATAACATGAGAGTAACTGTCTTGACAGTACTGTCGTACTATTATATTTCTAATGCCCATTCTCAACAGGGATAAGGCGAACAAACAACGAACTGTTCCTATTCCTTATCAAATGAAACAGATATTAAAATGATAAGGATTGGCAGGCTTCGATGGACAGGTGATGTGACCAGGATGCTGGAGAAACCATCAATACCGAATATAAGTAATAATATAATTGTAACCATATGTAATGTAATTGTAATAATATTGTAACCAAATTAATGCAATGCATCAGAAATTGGTAATAATGAAGCCATCTTTGTGTCAATCGGAAGGACTAATTTTGCTACAACGCCCGGCCGCATGTCTCGCTTGTGGCGTCACAAAACTGTTGGAGCTTGGATATGAAACTCTCCGGAACTTTTTTTTTTAACTTCATTTATTCACTCACACCTGTCATAAGCAATGACAATTAGCGAATCTGCTGTCGGTAAGTGAACAGATAGTGGCTGAGAGGAGTGCCCAGCGGCATCTCTCCCTGTCTTGATTTTAGCATATTTTTAAGCAAGGAAATCCCTCATCCAGCTCTTTTTGAGCCTCCTAAGTGTGTTTTCGGGCATGTTAAATGTAGCCATAGTTTGTATAAGTGTGTTAGTATGTCCATGTAAGTTATTGTGAAATCGCTTGTAGTGTGTCCGTATGTGATCGTTAACTGTCGCCATTTGAAGGTCTTTATGTAATGTATCTGACGTACCATGGAGCTTTGGTGATGGTTCTGAAAGTTTTAAACTGAAAAGTTTGTAGTTTTCGTTTGCGGGTCGTTTTGGCTGTTCCGTAAATTTGTGAAGCGTAGGTCCATATGGGCATAAGTAGATAATTGTAAGTGTTCAGTTTTTTTTTTTAAGTTCAATTTTGAGCGTCTTGAGAGAAGTTAGTGTAACAATCGTAGTCTGAGGTTTAAAGTTTTTCTTTTTTTTTTTGTTGATATGTGGACCACATGACGTTCTTCTGTCGAATATCAGTCCAAGATAAATAGTAGGGCATGTTTCATGTCGAAGAGTGAAAATGATGTATTGTGACACCTGAACTAGAATTAGAAAATGCGTTTTTTGAGTTTATCAATTCAAAAGATGAGAAATTCTATTCCAAGGCTATGTAAAAGTTAGCAACACGTTGGCAGAAATGTATTCATATTAGTGGAGACTGTTTTGATTAAATAAAACAGTTGTAAATCTTTCTTTTTAATCCAAAATAATGCATTATTTTCCGGATAACCGAATACAATGGGTTGATGGTGTAAATGAAGATTCAAGAAACCTGATTGGTGTTCTGAGGAAAGCAGCGCTTGACCGGATTAACTGGCGAAAGCTGTTTGAGAATCAGTTTTTATATTATTATCCATTTTGTTAAAAAAAAGTTTATAATATGAATGAAAATATATTATATATTGATGGTACCGATAGTCATAGGCTGTCTTGTCTAGTTCCGTTAGACAAATAAAAATAGTTGGAATTAAATTATTATAACTATGTTAATACTGACCTTCCTGTTTTCGTAATGATCATCTCGGTTCCTAGTTCGTTGAACTTCTCCCAGAGATCCTTGGTGTCGAGCAGACACTCGACGTGCGCCAACTCCTCGCAGTTGGCCCTCTCTTGGAGGAGGAGGTTGGGTTGCTCCTCTCCCGTCGAAGAGGAGATCTCAGGAGGGCTATCCCTTCCTGGACTCCGCCTTTTCCGTCGACCAGGGCCAACTGGAACACAATAACCAATATTAAATATAAAACTATATTCAACTATCTGTGAATATACAGTGGCTTACAATGAAATTGATAGACCCCATAAAAAATAAAAAGAAAAATTTAAATGGTTACAGTAAAAAAATAAATCCAGAAACTCTTACATAAATATATTTATAATTTCATTTGAAATACGTACACACTCAATAAAATTAATTTTTTTTTTTGTCTTCAATTCTTCATCTGCACCTGTCATGGTAGTGACAATTAGCAGATTTGTTCTTAGGTAGCAAATGGCATGATGACGAAGAATGGAGCCCAGCAGCACCTCTTCCCTGGTCAGTTTACATCCTAAAAAGTGGAAAGGAGATCTCTCATCCAGCTCCTTTTCAGTCGCCTCCTGATGAGCATTTCAGCCGTGGCCATGTCGTTGATAAGTCCATTGTGATATCCGTGTAGTTTAGAATGAAATCTGGAGTAGAGAGTACGTATGTGCTGGTCAATGGTTGGTCGTCTTAAGTCGGTATGTAAAGTCTTGTTGTTGACATACCAGGGAGCTGCAGTTATTAGTCTTAAAATTTTAGATTGGAAAGATTGTAGTTTTTGTAAGTGAGTCTTTTTGCTGAACCGTAAATCTGTGAGGCGTATGTCCAAATGGGTTTGAGCAGGTAAGTGTAAGTATTTAGTTTTTGTCTAATTTTCAATTTTGATTTAGAAAACAGTGAGCATAGTATTTTCAGTCGCTTGTTCAAAGTCTTTCTTTTCATTTTGACGTGTGGGCCCCAGGTCATCCTTCTGTCAAATATTAGTCCGAGGTAGCGTATAGCGTCCGACTGAGTAATTGGATTGTTGCTGATATAAACTGATGGGCATGTTTCTCGTCGAAGCGTCAATGTTATATGTTGTGATTTGTCATGATTTAATCTAATTTTCCAGAGTGAATACCAATTTTGTAAATTTAGTAAGTGATTTTGTAAAGTTAATGAGGCTAGTCTGGGATCATGGTATTTTGTTAAAATTGTTTTGTTAAAATCGTCAGCGTAAGTAGCAGTCAGTGTTTCGGAGGTGGTAGGCATGTCATGAGTATAGACAATGTAGAGTAAAGGTGCCAATATTGATCCTTGAGGTACCCCTGCTGATACTGGTCGAATTGAGGAAATTTCAAAACCCTGTCAGACAGAGAAGAATCTGTCGAAAAGGAAAGATTGGAGAATGAGATAGTATGTATTAGGCACTATAGTTTTGAAGAGAAGTCCCTGGTGCCAGAATTTATTAAATGCATGGGCAACATCCAGAAATACGCCGGTATCATATATTAGTGTTTATTCAAAAATTAATAAAAAATAAATGGATAATTTAACTCAGAGGCAAAATGAAACACCTCATTTCTTATTTACTTTTAAACACTATTAATTTAGTTCAAAACCTTGTACGCAAGCCATTATTTTCTACCACACCAGAAGCCGCCATACAGCCCCACACCAAGAAGCATAACACACGAAAAGAACATAAAATATACCGTAACGTAAGAACAGGACAAAAGAAAACACACCTTACTGGTATGTTTATTGATTACAATAAGTTGTTGTCTTTAATATAATATAAATTTAACTGTTTATTTATTTAATAACTTCTATCAATATCAATGTGTATATTTTTAACTGTGAGCTACTGTACATAAGTGCGATAAAATCTAAATGGACATTTTCTAGAGAGAAAGTAGATCCTACTATTCAGCGGAACAGACATACAACTGCAAAATTTATCAATGGAAAACCAATTTATCACGTCACTATTGTCTGAAACATATGTTTAATCGAATCGAACAAACCACTGGTTGAGGGCCAATTGCTGTAACTCAGCAAAGCTTAGATTAAGCGTTGTCTACGGTTAAACCATGTTTAATCTTGATCGTTTGACCTTAGAAAACTTGGTTTAATCTTAAATAACGCTTAATATAAGCTTTACTGAGTTGGGGCAACTAGCCCAAGACAAAGATCCTACCCAAATGATGTGACAATGTCAAAACTCAGCAACGAGTTGATAATCCCAAAATATTGCTTCAAAGTCCGAAAGGTAATAGGTTCTGGAAATAAATTAAATTAATTAAGTGACTAAATATGGATATTTAAAAAACTGTAGCAAAAATAAGCAGTGCGTACTGCTGTACAACTGAACGATCGCCGAGATCGGTTAGGATAATAGTGATGCTTTGTATTTAGTGAAACTTCGAAGGGGTTTTGAATTTTTAAGCTTGTTCCTGATGGTCGAACAGTGCACTTAAACCTTCACTGTGAACAGTTTATGCAGTTTTGAGTTTAAGCTTTCATCAACAAGAACCAAGCCATTTTGCAGTATTGCAATAATTGCACATCATCGAGGAATGGAATCTACGATGGTCTACAATCCCGAAAGGAGCGACGCCAAGAAAGTTCTTTCCGAATGTGCACTCAAGAGACCCCATGTGTCTCAGGTGTCATGTTCAAGAAACTGGCGAACACGTAGTAACGACCTTTACTGTATTCGAAGGACTTAAGGACACTTTAAGGAAGAGAAAACGGTATTGTAAGTCATGTTAGAAGATGATTTCCCCTCCCTCATTAAACAAGAGAGCTACCGCTAAGAATTTGTATACGGGTGGAAGACGGCTAGAGAACACTTTAACTTTTGTGCCCCTACGGGAAAAGAGGAGACGGCAGAATGAAGATTTGGACTTCAATCGAAGCACTACCATCTAACTGACTATTGTAGCTTGATAAATGTTTATTACGCTACCCTCACCCGTATTGCCGTAAGGTAAGGTAGGGTGGAAATAAATAAATAATAAATAAAGCTATAGTTACATTCTGTCCGCTATATTATAATATTTTCTTCACAAAGTATTAATTTTCTTGTTTTTCTCTAAGTTAATTGAATAGCGTAGCAACCGTTGGTCCCTAAGGAAGTGCTAATAACAATACTTACTGTTCAAGACAGGCCTCGAAGCCGCGATGGCTAGCGTGTGCTAGTAATTGAACTAGCGATTACAAAGGTGTGTAAATAGAAGACTGGAGCGTGGCGCGGTCTAACAGCAGCCAGGCAAAGATAATGAGGAGTTTCTGACCGCAGTCCACGCTCTCCCACCTGTCGAGGTATCTGTTCGGTCCCAGGACGAATATAGATGAAAAGAATATTGTAAATCGAATAACATGTAATATAATAAAATATTGATAATCCGGCATTTGTTAATCCGACACATTCAGTAATCTTGAAAGACATAGTCTGTGGCTCTAGTGCCCTCCTTCAGTTTCCACTGACGCGGCTGGAAGAGAGACACTGAAATCTCCTGGAGTCCTGTTTTGCCTTCCACTTTTGGAGGAGAAAACGTGGCTCTGAGTTCCCTGGGCGAATGTAAATATTGTACATAGGAATGAATTTGCTGAGAAGATTTATTTTATTTTTACATATTGATTTATTTTTTATTTCATTTATGCTTGTTATTCTATTTTTATATTTACTTTTCTTAGTTTACTCATTTATTTTTTATTTATTTATTTTTATTTTTTATTTCCATATTATATGTATATATGGTATGAATGGACACATCTAGTCCTGTTGCTTATTGCCCTTCAATGTGGCAGATTGTACTTTTAAAATAAAATATAAAAAAAAAAAAAAGAAAGACAGCAGTATAAGTAAGATGTTTTCCTGTCACTGCATGTTCATTATTTGTACTTATAATCTTATAATATTAGTGGATCTAAGATTTTTTTTTATTATTAATTATGAAATTTACAACTGTATACAAATTAATATGTATTCAATAAATATTATACAGAGAAATGGCATGGCAAGGCCTGCAGAGAATCTACCAATTGAAATAAAACAATCCCTTCTTGTAGAAAGTATTGAGAGCTCGGTAAGTAAGGCACTTAGTTCATAAACTCAAGGTCCTGAGTTAATGTACGGTTGTATCACGCAATTTATTGTGTTACATCAACCGCAGACCAGCCCTCCTGTGGCACAAACAGCCTTTATAAAGCGGAAACTCTTAATTTAATAACTGATTAAGGGTGAAAGTATGGAATTTGAGCGTGATCTCGGCTCATTTACCTCCTTCCAATATCATTGGCCTTCAGTACAGTACTTATACTGAACCCAACCTTTTACTTTCACTTACCTATATATAATATATTGTGAGGGTAAGTATTGCGATCGTGAAATTTTTTTAATCTGAGTTTTTAACGGAAATACACGCTTTGAGTTCTTCTGAGTCCAAGTAACCAAGTCCCGCAAAATAGTCTGTGTATGTGTGTGTGTGTGTGTCCATAGTCTAGCTCAAAAACGAAAACGAAATTGCATATTTTTATATGCTAGAGATGTTACAGCAACTTTTTCGTCAAAATCGGCTAACCGGAGGTGGCGCTTTATATAATGCATTAAACACATTTTTGCGATTATCTTGAAAACTGCTCTAACGAGTTTGATTAAATTCATCATATCATTGTAAAATTGAGTAGTTTTAAATAAAATATGGTTATTATTATGATTGATGTTCTCTAACAGGGTTTATATTAAATTAATAGTACCTTTAATTTTTTTTATTTGAAGCAATTGAGATTAAGTTATAATATGAAAAATGATTAAATATAAAATATGAAACCATTTGATAAATAACTAAAGGAGAAATAAGAGATCGTAACGGATAATAGTTGTAATTGAGGAACCAAAGGAATAGTAATAATAATTTTCCCTCTCAAACTAGCCTATGCTCGCTTAAAAAGTCTTTATTTTTTACTTATACATTACACTATTATATGTTTATAAAAAATAACAGTATTACTTAACACTCGAACCTAAGAAAAGGATAACAACTGATGGGTTTAGATACACAAGAGTGACTGTTGAAAATAAATTTACTTTTACTAAGTGAGTAATTTCACAGGCAAACCAAAACAGAACCTTTGAGTGTTTATTTGTTGAGAAAACAACCCGAGTTGAACCCAACTAACGACTACCTGCCATAACATCGTTTACTCTACAAACAAGGTCGTTATACAAGGTTAGCGAACTTAACTTGTCTTCTGTATTGTTGTTAACAACAAAGTTTACAATAAGTAAATTGTAAATGAATACCGATCAAACGGTATCAATATAAGTAGAGATCTGAATTTACAGTCTCTTATCATTTCCCTTGTAATCAGAATCCGGATTTTTATGCAGGAGAAACCCGAAAAATTTACAATATAATAATAATAAAAAGCTTAGCGGACCCGAAGGTTCGATGCCGACACCACCAATTGGTTATTACACGTCCATCCCCTCTCGGACGCTTACCATTCGGCATAGCAAATATTAACATTTTAAGAATTCTCTCGTTACTAAGCCCAACAACTTTACAAGCCCATTTGATTCGCCGCGATGAAATTACCTCAATTATATTACCCGTATACAGCTCACGCAATTCGGCGTTGTGTAACAGTCTGAACTCCCCGGTTAACTCATCCTTCTTCGGTCCGAATATTCTACGCAATACTTTATTTTCAAAAACCTTAAGACGTTGCTCATCCCGTAATTTAAACGGCCACGTTTTACATCCATAGAGAACTGTAGGTAAGATAATGGCTTTATAGTTTTTAAGTTTCGGGACAAAAGGCGCGAGTTAAATATTTTGTCACAGAAAAATAACAAGCGTTTCCCGCCTTCAGCCTAATCTTAACATCCTCTTCAATTTCGTTTTTACTTGTTGTGTTCAAACAAATTTTCTTCTATATTGATATCACCGAAATTGTCGCTATTTTTGCAGCCAACCGTTTATTTTTTCTTATCCTAAATATTATTTCTAAAAGGTGTTTTATTGTCGGTACGCCATAACTTCGTCAATACATCATCAAATCCAATCATCGACCACTCATTTTGAAGATATTCTTCTCCTTCATATGCGAAAAATAGTCCCATACTTCCGAAATTTCTGGAAAAAAAATATGGAGGAAAAGAAACTTTATTCTCGAATAACTCAAAAGTATGCATTTTCCCTTGATTGTACCCATGATAATTGTAAAGATTACTAAATTACTAACAAATCGGACAATTATTAACAAAGATACAGTCCTTTTGGTATAATTAATAGTTTTACTTAATTAGTTTTGATATACTTAATAATATCTTCCGATTTTAAGATATTGCATTAAGAATAGAATAGTCTACAACATTTTTTTTTCCTGGCTGATATATTAACTTTATTATTTCTTAAAGACATTTGGTTGTTCTTACAATTTATTTATTTTAATAATTTAGATTATCCCATGATGGGGCATAATTTTGTCTATATTGCAGTCAGTGTTTAAACATATCTCCTATTATTTCTATTATATTTAATGAAATATTGTAATCGAATAAGGAAAAAAGATTAATTCCTTCCTTTTATAATACATAGGAACTACTTATTTCCATATTGTTTTTCTATTTCTTCTCTAAACAAAATTGTGTGCGAATTTTTTGCACGGGCCATCTAGTCTCAGTTCTTTACCTGCTTTCATTAACGTTGTTATATTCAGTTTTATTATTTTAATATCTTCGCTTAACAGTACCAGATCCATCAGCATACCCAAGCACGGATATTGTTCCACCCAGGTCAACCTTTTTTCGGTATGTATCACCTCTCTAATGGCATGTTCTATTGCCAAATTAAATAAGGCGGGCGAAAAAGAATCACCTTGTTTTATCGTAGACTCTAGATACAATATTAAATACAATATAATATGCAATAAAAAAAATGTAAAATTTCCAAAAAATATTTATTTAAAAACATGATATATATACACCGAAAAATATCCAAATATGCAATAAGACAGCTTAAATATTAAATTGTACTAATTCCCCTACATGAAGTTCTCAATTATGAACTTAGTTAGAGGTAAGATTAAAAATTAAATTAACAGTTGTATAATGCGATTGGGTCCTCCCCAATAAATAAATATATATATATATATATATATATATATATATATATTATATATATATATATATATATATATATATATATATAGAATGTTTTATCCCTCAAAAATGTGCAATTTGGTGGTAGCAGATGTCCGAGTGGATTGGTTCTGCCATATTATCTGCTAGAACTGGTCAAGAAGGCCAAATGTCATGCCACTACATCATGCCAGATATCGCACTTCAAAGTCCCGCCCTAGAACCGTCGTAAAAGGTACTGAAGATGATTTATGTTAGTTCTGATTCCTTAACATAAGAAGAAGAAACCTTATGTACTTTTAAGCAAGCAATAATAGCAGTAGTTATCAACTTCTGTTCTGCAAAATATATTATATAAGTAATATATAATAAATATATATTTTTAAGAAATTAAATTCATCAAGTAATCAGAATATTATTATATAACCAATTTTCGAATTGAGTAATAACTCCATACGACGTATATGTAAAGTTAAAAACAAAAAAAAGCAAATCAGTTACAAGATTTTAAGGTTTGTGTTTTATGTATTTATTTTTTATTAATACAGTTGCAAATATCATAAATAAATAATAAAAAATAAAAAGTATTTTATATCTTAGCTTTATTCATAGAAACATTACAAAACACCTTTTGATCTATGCACTGCATACATGTAAGATTTTATTGTTGTTTTCCCAAAAAAGAATTTTAAAAATTAGTTTAAAAAAAAGTTTTGATTTTTTTTTAATATTTAATTCATTCCAAAAATGAACTTAAAGCTTTTCTTTTTTCAATTTCATAACAGTTCAATCTACGAATTTTCATTATTGGTAGACATAAAATATAAAAACTAATAAAAGATTTTGGTACATACCTCATTTTATCGAATTATTAACATCCGCCTGAAACTTCGTAAATAGTTTCATCTCATCATAACCTACAACTATTTTATTTTAAACGAAAACTATTGGAATTGGGGAGTTTTCAATTTGGATTGGGGGCAAACTTTGTCTATTTAATTATGTACTAAAAACTCGTCAATACAAATTTATTTTCTATTTCGATCGTAGATAATTTGATCACAAAGTCGAGAAAAAGGTGGCCTTTAAAAAAATTGGGCCGTTTGGTCTATATAACCTCGTTATTATGAAATTTTAGAGGTGTAGGTCACGTTAAACCACTTAATCTGTTTAAAGGCCACCTTTTTCTCGACTTTGTGATCAAATTATCTTAAGATCCAAGCAGAAAAGAAA